GTCTGCACCCCCTGCCTCCACCGCTTGCTCACTTCCTTCTTCCCTTCCTCCAGGAGGGTGTTGTGAAAATGATAAAAGATTGACCAAGTTGATTTTTATTCTGTTCCTTTATTTGTTCTTTATAACAAAGGAGATGGCACGCAGCAATCACTCGCTCGCCCACTCACTGGTAACAGTGACTTCGGTGATGCCGTGTCTGGCTCCCCCTGCCGCCGACTCCACCGAACCACAGCAAGGCATGAAACTCCCACGAAGCCATGGCCCGTGTGTTCATTTTTCAACCACGTTTAACTAAAGGGCTTTAAATAAAGCACTAAAGTGCCTTTGTATTAGGGCTGTGCAAAATGACTATGTTTTGATTTGTTTTTGGATTTGGCTGTTTCAGAGGACAGTGATTCGTTTTGGTGTTTCGGATCACTGTCCTGCTTTGTTTCAGCCGAATCTGTTTTGGAGATTCAGCTGTGCCAAATCTCCTCCGAATCTGTTTCAAACGGGCTGCAAGGGAAGCTTTGCATGGCCCTACCCAGCCAGGAGGAGCAGGACGCGGCCACGGGTGTCTCGTCCGGGGGAAGAAGAGGGCTTCTGCCCTCCATGCAAGCGAGGAGACCCCCACATGGATCTCTGATCCCTGTCACACCGGGTCACAGGGCAGGGAAGCAGTGCAAAGCAGTGACCAAGCCTGCTAGTCCCTGCCTCATGACCTGGCTCCACAGGGAACAGAGATCCACGCTGGGGGTCTCCTCACCGCCATTGCCTGCCCTGAGCTGCCCCAGCGACCCACGTCTGCGTGGGGTGGGCAGCGACGGTGAGAAGATGCTGGCGTGGATCTCTGCTCCCTGCGGAGCCCAGTCGCACAGCAGGGCAGCAGTATACAGCTGTTTCCCTGCAAGTCCAGCTCCAAAACTCTGAAATTTTCTGAAACATTTCCAAAATGTTTCGGATGCCTCATTTCGTTTCAGAGATATTGCTGAACCTTTCATTTCAATTCGGATTCAGTGTTTCAGGCGCCGAAATGGCCCGAAACACCTCCAAAATGAAACAGCTACTGAAATTTCTCACAGCCCTACTTCGGGTATACATGCAGCATATATATAGACACCTTTAGTCATATGCGATGTGTAGGGAGGCATAGCGGGGCATATGACCCAACTCCCCCCCCCCCCCCCCGAGATTGGCCCTTGCCGGCTGGGGAGTGGGGGCACCATAAGAAGTGTTGACACATGCCCCCCTACCCCAGAGATTGACCCTCGCTGGACGCGGAGTGGGGGCACTAAGACAAGCACCTGCAGCTGCTGGGGGACCACCTAGCCCCGGTCAGCAATTGGTTTACCACTGGTGCCCCCCCAGACTCAGGAGACACCAGTCGCCCATGCCCTTAGTACTTTTTTAGCAAGTATTAAATGACTGCACAGTAACGGTAGGTACTACACAGCCCCGGCGGTGCTCAGGTGTTTCCCACCGAAGCTACATCACCATAGCTTGTCGCGACGGAGACAGCATCTCATGTAGAGGCACCCACTGTGCGGGAAGACCACTGCCTGTATTTATAGGTAGACAACTGTGCAGCTGTGCAGTAGACTAATCTACTGCACAGTAACTCCTGCACACAGGTCCACAGAGACTTTACTCTGCAGTAGTCTCCTGCGCAGTAAAGCATCTCATGCAGACACCCCCTGCGAGGAGGCACAGGCAGAACAGCGGCAGGGGCATACCTGAGAGAAGAGACACGTCCCATCAATGTGGGCAAGGAGGGGAGGGCTTTTGCCAGTCCCTGTCAGGTCTGTGTTATTTGGTCAAAGGCAGGGGGGAGCTGGGCAGGAGTCCTCAGGAACAGGGCCAGTCCAGTTTTGGGGGGCTCCCTGCAAGGTATAGTTTTGGGGCTCCCTGATGCGAGGAAGCCTGTGGTGTTGGTGGCGGGAGGGTGGGGGTGGCGAGCGCCTGCACATGAAGCCGGGGGGGGCGGTTGACAAGAGGCCAGAGGAGGGAGGAAAGAAAATTCGAAAGGAAAGAAGCACTGCCCCGCACCAGGCCCGCACAGCCCAGTGGGGCCCGAACCCAGGGGCTGGACTGGGGCGAGCTTCAGCTGCACTGCTGGGCCAGAGAGGACAGAGCCCCCAGGAACCCCACGCTCGTCCCGAGTCATCCCCAGGAAGAGCTGGCGCAGCACCAGGGAGCCAGGGAGGGGCATGTGGGCCCCCATCTTTGCACGGGGCAAGGGCCGGCTGCAGCTGGGCTCAGCCTTTGCTCTGTGTCCTTGCTCACTGCCACTGCTGTTTTGAATGCAGTGGGGCAGGGCACCATGCATCTTGCTGCCTGGCCCACCCAGTGGAAGGATGCACATGACCTGTAGCCATTTTCAAAGCAGTAGTGGCAGCAAGGGGGGGACGTCAGGAGCAGAGGCTGAGCCCAGCTGTGGCCTGCCCCTGCCCTGTGCAAAGATTGGGGGCCCATGTGCCTGCTCCTTTGCTCCCCAGTGCCACGCTGGCTCTGGAGGAGCCACCAGGCTCTGATTGCCCCGTGACCTGGCCTGGCCAGGGCCCGATTCACCATGAATGGGGCCCTGGCTGGGCTGGGTCATGGGGCACTCCCCACAGTACAGGAGGGAGCAGGGCAGGGGTGAATGATTCGCCCTGGCCCTACCCCACTCTCAGTCTGCCCCCCACACAAAAGCCTGATTAAAAGAAACTAACCTGCCCGTGGCTGGGTCCACTGTGATCCTGGCTGCGAGTGTGCCGAGTATCTGAGTGTGTGTACCCCTTCCCCCCTCCCCCCTGCGGCAGCAGCCTGTGGCTGGGCTGCCCTCCGGCTATATTTGCTGCCCTGCGTTTGGGTGGGGCTGAGCCCCATCAGCCCACCCTTCTGCAGCCTATGGCCAGACATGAAGGCAGCGACAGTGGAAGCCCTGCCCGCCCCAGGAATCCGCCTCCTGCACCTGGAGTGGGCCAAAGAGCTCTGAACAGGGCACAGGAAGGCCATGTCCTGTTGCATCCCGTGTTTAGTCTTGCCCTGGGGGTGGGGAGGTGTGGCCATGAACAGCAGCCATGGCTTGCCTGTGTGGGGATAACTGAGACAATTAGTCCTATGAAGCTGTCATTATGAGGGCAACATGAATTGATTAAATTGCATGAAACCCCCACGTGTGGATCGTTGAGATGAACGCACTCCCACAAGTTTAATCTCAGTCACTTTAATCTTGAATAAGAATTTCACACGGGAGGGATAGGGGGCGAGGGGCAAAGGCTGCTCACCTACAATCACCCTTCAAATACAAGGCAAGGTTTCACAAGTCAAACATTTCTTCCAAAGTGTCCTTT